TATACATATTTATTAAATATAACTATATTTATACCCTGTCTAGTATATAGACTACTAGGCTTAATTCTGCTGCCACAGCTTCCCATGTAGCTAGGACTACAGGGGCATGCTACCATGCCTGGCTATTTTATTTTTATTTTATTTTATTTTATTTATTTATTTTGAGACGGAGTCTCGCTCTGTCACCCAGGCTGGAGTGCAGTGGTCAGACCTTGGCTACAAGCTCCGCCTCCTAGGTTTACGCCATTCTCCTGCCTCAGCCTCCCGAGTACCTGGGACTACAAGCGCCCGCCATCTCGCCCGGCTAGTTTTTTTGTATTTTTTTTTAGTAGAGACGGGGTTTCACCATGTTAGCCAGGATGGTCTCGATCTCCTGACCTCATGATCCGCCCGTCTCGGACTCCCAGAGTGCTGGGATTACAGGCTTGAGCCACTGCGCCCGGCCTTTATTTTTTTTGAGATGGAGTTTCACTCTGTCTCGCCCAGACTGGAATGCCATGGTGTGATCTCAGCTCACTGAAACCTCTACCTCCTGGGTTCAAGTGATTCTCTTGTCTCAGAGTCCTGAGTTGCTGGGATTACAGGTGAGCACCACTACACCTGGCTAATTTTTGTATTTTTAGTAGACAGGGTTTTACCATGTTGGCCAGGCTGGTCTGGAACTCCTGACCTCATGTGATCCACATGCCTTGGCCTTCAAACATGCTAGGATTACAGGTGTGAGCCACTGTGCCTGACCTATTTTTATTTTTGTAGTGACAGAGTCTTGCTATATTGCCCAGGCTGGTCTCAAACTCCTGGCCTCAAGCAATTCTTCCACCTTGGCCTCCCAAAGTACCAGGATTACAGTCATGAGCCACTGCACCCTATCCTAAAATATTTACTATTTGGTTCTTCACAGAAAAAGTTTGCCAAATCCTGGCTTATCGGGTATAGGATTATGGCTGATTTATCTCTCTCTCTCTCTCTTTTTTTTTTTTTTTTTGAGAGGGAATCTCACTCTGTCACCCAGGCTGGAGTGCAGTGCAAGCTCTGCCTCCTGAGTTCACGCCATTCTCCTGCCTCAGCCTCCTGAGTAGCTGGGACTACGGGCGCCCACCACCATGCCTGGCTAATTTTTTGTATTTTTAGTAGAGACGGGGTTTCATCGTGTTAGCCAGGATGGTCTTAATCTTCTGACCTCGTGATCTACCCGCCTTGGCCTCCCAAAGTGCTGGGATTACAGGTGTGAGCCACCACCTCCAGTCATGATTTATCTCTTTTATTTTGGTAATTTTTCAAACTACCATATAATAAACATGTCTGTCTTTACTTTTTTTTGAGACAAGGTCTTACACTGATGACTGGGCTGGAGTGTAGTAGGGCATGAGCACAGCTCACTGCAGTCTTGACCTCCTGAGCCGACCCTGAGCCCCTCCTAGGCTCAAGCAATCCCCCTGCCTCAGCCTCCTGAGTAACTGGGACCATAAATATGTGCCAGCACGTCTGGCTAAGTTTTTTGTTTTTTTGTTGAGACAGGGTCTTGTCATGTTGCCTCAAACTCCTGGGCTCAAGTGATCCACCCACCTCAGCCTCCCAAAGTGCTGGGATTACAGGAGTGAGCCACTGTGCCCAAACTTCTCCCTTAATTTCAAAGTAGTCAGACCACAGAGGTCATACAGGATGATAATTATGTTTAAGTAAATAAATTGCAGAGAACAATTTCTGCATCCAAAAAGTGTCTATTAGAAGACAAAGGGAAAACCTGCCCTGAGGTACAGCATACATAGTAAAGCCAGGTGTCTTTTTTTTTTTTTTTTTTTTGAGAGAGGGTCTTGCTCTGTCACCCAGGGTAGAGTGCAGTGGTGCAATCACAGCATACTGCAGACTTGATCTCTAGGGCTTAAGTGATCCTTCTACCTAAGCTCCCAGAATAGCTAGCTGGACTAGAGGTATGTGCCATCATGCCCAGCTAATTTTTTAATTTTTTGTACAGATGGGATCTCACTGTGTTACCCGGGTTGGTCTGAAACTCCTGGGCTCAAGTGATCCTCTCACCTCAGCCTCCCAAAATGTTGGGATTATAGGTGTTAGCCACCTTGCCCAGCCAAAACCAGGTATCTGCAGTAGTACAGAAAAAGATATTTTAATTAGTAGACATGATAAATTAATTATTTTGTAGGGAACTGTGCCATGAGTTCCAGCTCCTTATCCTCTCTTTATTGGGAGAAATATCTGTGTCAAACAAAAACCTGTCTATACAACCTGGATTCTTAGGGTGTTACATATGTAGAAAGCTGGCTTGCATTCAGTTTCTCTATACTTTTGGTTCCAGTTGACTTGAAAAATATACTAACATTTTGAAAGGAGGCAGTTACATGGAACATACGAAACAGATATAATGCAAATATGGGTGTGACTGTTAATTGGGTTGGCATCTTATGGTTGAGCAAGCAGATAAAAAAAGTGACAGAGAAGCTTTTCTGTTCTGGGAACCATTCTGATTTCTGTAGAAACTTTTGCAAAACCTTATGTCTATCTCATGGTTTAAAGCTCTCACAGGCTGACTGGGAGTGGTGGCTCACACCTGTAATCCCAGCACTTTGTGAGGCCAAGGTGGGTGGATCACTTGAGGCCAGGAGTTCGAGACCAGGCTGGCCAACATGGTGAAACCCCAT